TGCCACCATGACTGTAAGCTAGGTTCAGGACTGTTGCTGCCACCATGACTATAAGCTAGGTTCAGGATTGTTGCTGACATCATGTATTGTAAGCTAGGTTCAGGACTGTTGCTACCACCATGGACTGTAAACTAGGTCAGGACTGTTGCTGCCACCATGGAGTGTAAGCTAGGTTCAGGACTGTTGCTGCCACCATGACTGTAAGCTAGGTTTAGGTCTGTTGCTGCCATCATGGACTGTAAAACAGGTTCAGGATTGTTGCTGCCACCATGACTCTAAGCTAGGTTCAGGCCTGTTGCTGCCACCATGGACTAAAAGCTAGGTTCAGGACAGTTGCTGCCATCATGTACTGTAAGCTAGGTTCAGGACTGTTGCTGCCACCATGACTGTAAGCTAGGTTCAGGACTGTTGCTGCCACCATAGACTGTAAGCTAGGTTCAGGACTGTTGCTGCCACCATGACTGTAAGCTAGGTTCAGGACTGTTGCTGCCACCATGACTGTAAGCTAGGTTCAGGACTGTTGCTGCCAACATGGACTGTAATCTAGGTTTAAGGACTGTTGCTGCCACCATGGACTGTAAGCTAGGTTCAGGACTGTTGCTGCCACCATAACTTTAAACTAGGTTCAGGATTGTTGCTGCCACCATGACTCTAAGCTAGGTTCAGGACTGTTGCTGCCACCATGGACTGTAAGCTAAGTTCAGGACTGTTGGTTCCACCATGACTGTAAGCTATGTTCAGGATTGTTGCTGCCAATATGGACTGTAGGCTAGGTTCAGGACTGTTGCTGCCACCTTTGACTGTAAGCTAGTTTCAGGACTGTTGCTGCCACCTTGGACTGTAAGCTAGGTTCAGGACTGTTGCGCCCACCATGACTGTAAGCTAGGTTCAGGACTGTTGCTGCCATCATGGACTGTAAGCTAGGTTAAGGACTGTTGCTGCCACCATGGACTGTAAGCTATGTTCAGGACTGTTGCTGCCACCTTTGACTGTAAGCTAGGTTCAGGATTGTTGCTGCCACCTTGGACTGTAAGCTAGGTTCAGGACAGTAACTGCCATCATGGACTGTTAGCTAGGTTCAGGACTGTTGCTGCCACCATGGACTGTAAGCTAGGTTCAGGACTGTTGCTGCCACCATGATATTTAAGCTTGGTTCAGGACTGTTGCTGCCACCATGACTATAAGCTAGGTTCAGGATTGTTGCTGACATCATGGTATGTAAGCTAGGTTCAGGACTGTTGCTACCACCATGGACTGTAAGCTAGGTCAGGACTGTTGCTGCCACCATGACTGTAAGCTAGATTTAGGTCTGTTGCTGCCATCATGGACTGTAAACTAGGTTCAGGATTGTTGCTGCCACCATGACTCTAAGCTAGGTTCAGGACTGTTGCTACCAACATGGACTGTAAGCTAGGTTCAGGCCTGTTGCTGCCACCATGGACTAAAAGCTAGGTTCAGGACAGTTGCTGCCATCATGTACTGTAAGCTAGGTTCAGGACTGTTGCTGCCACCATGACTGTAAGCTAGGTTCAGGACTGTTGCTGCCACCATGGACTGTAAACTAGGTTCAGGACTGTTGCTGCAATCATGGACTGTAAGCTAGGTTCAGAACTTTTGCTGCCACCATGACTGTAAGCTAGGTTCAGGACTGTTGCTGCCATCATGGACTGTAAGCTAGGCTCAGGACAGTTGCTGCCACCATGGACTGTAAGCTAGGTTCAGGACTGTTGCTACCACCATGGACTGTAAGCTAGGTTCAGGACTGTTGCTGCCACCATGGACTGTAAGCTAGGTTCAGCACTGTTGCTGCCACCATGGACTGTAAGCTAGGTTCAGGACTGTTGCTGCCACCATGACTGTAAGCTAGGTTCAGGACTGTTGCTGCAATCATGGACTGTAAGCTAGGTTCAGGACTGTTTCTGCCATTATGGACTGTAAGCTAGGTTCAGGACAGTTGCTGCCACCATGGACTGTAAGCTAGGTTCAGGACTGTTGCTGCCACCATGTCTGTAAGCTAGGTTCAGGACTGATGCTGCCACCATGGACCATAAGCTAGGTTCAAGACTGTTGCTGCAATCATGGACTGTAAGCTAGGTTCATAACTTTTGCTGCCACCATGACTGTAAGCTAGGTTCAGGACTGTTGCTGCCACCATGACTGTAAGCTATGTTCAGGACTGTTGCTGCCACCATGGACTGTAAGCTAGGTTCAGGACTGTTGCTGCCATCATGGACTGTAAACTAATTTCAGGATTGTTGCTGCCACCATGACTGTAGGCTAGGTTCAGGACTGTTGCTACCAACATGGACTGTAAGCTAGGTTCAGGCCTGTTGCTGCCACCATGGACTAAATGCTAGGTTCAGGACAGTTGCTGCCATCGTGTACTGTAAGCTAGGTTCAGGACTGTTGCTGCCACCATGGACTGTAAGCTAGGTTCAGGACTGTTGCTGCCACCATGGACTGTAAGCTAGGTTCAGGACTGTTGCTGCCATCATGACAGAGAATGGGCTTATTATAACTATGAACTAAGGAGGCTGCCAGGATTAAACATAAGGAGTACCAGTTTATTACTGGCCACCAAAACAGACTGTAAGTCTTTGTTAAGGGTTTCAGGGACTTCATTAGCTGTGGTTGCTGGTGCGTATATGGTTGAATCATCAGTATACATAGACACACAGGCTTTGTTTAATGCCCATGGCAGGTCATTAGTAAAAATAGAAAAGAGTAGCGGGCCAAGAGAGCTGCCCTGCAGGGCCACCACACTTTACATGTTTGACATTAAAGAAGCTTCCATTAAAGAAAACCCTCTGAGTTCTATTACATTTTAGTCATTTAGCAGACGCTCTTATCCAGAGCAACTTACAGTTAGTGAGAGCATACATTTAATATATTTGTTTCATACTGGCCCCCCGTGGGAATCAAACCCACAACCCTGGCGTTGCAAACGCCATGCTCTACCAACTGAGCTACATCCCTGCCGGCCAGGTTATGGTCATAAATATCAATGGCTGCACTGAAATCTAACAGTACAGCTCCCACAATTTTCTTATTATCAATTTTCTTTCAACCACTCATCGGTAATTTGTGTCAGTGCAGTACATGTTGAGTGCCCTTATAAGCAAGCTGAAAGTCTGTTGTTAATTTGTTTACAGAGAAATAACATTGTTTCTGGTCAAACACCATTTTCTCAAAATGTTTGCTAAGAGTCGGCAGCAAGCTGATTGCTGTTAGAACATGTAAAGGGTGCTTTACCATTCTTGGGTAATGGAATGACTTTGGCTTCCCTTCTTGGTCTGAGGACAAACATTTTTCTCCGGACTCAGTGGCAATATAGTCCGCTGTCATCCTCAGTAGCTTCCATCTAAGTTGTCAATACCAGGTGGTTTCTCATTATTGATGGACAACAATAATCTTTCCACCTCACCCACACTAACTTTACAGAATTCAAAATTACAATGCTTTTCTTTCATTATTAGGTCTATTCATTATAGTATGCAATGTGTTGCTCTCCACATATTACAAGGAGCTCTGGTTAGGACCATGGACAGTTCCTAACCAGGCTTGGCCGACCTGACTGTAGTCATCCAGAACCCCCCCCCCCCCCCCCCTCCCAAGCACTCCATTGGTTCCTGCATGAACGCCATCCTTTACTAACTTCCCACAGTGTGGAGCAATTTTACTTGAGATCCTGCTTCTATGTTCAACACCAAATTCTCCTCACCAAAGCTTTACATCTTGTTGCTATTTTCACTAGCAGGGAACTGACAGCAGATGGCGCCGTTGTGCCTCTATTGGTCTCAAGGTCACTGCAGCAAACCGTCATGGACGATGGATGCTCATCGTACTCTAGTGGTCTGCCAAGCTGCATGACAGTAGTAGGCTGCATCACAGCACTCTCTCTTTCTCAATTCATCTTTCTCAATTCCTTGCACCCTCTCTTCTCGCCTCCTCTCTCCTCACACCCTCTCTCCTCGCACCCTCTCTCCTTGCACGCTCTCTCCCCTCCTCTCTCCTCACATCCTCTCTCCTCGCTTCCTCTCTCCTTGCACCCTCTCTTCTCGCCCCTTTCTCAAAACCCATTGGAGAAGAAGGGCTGAGTAGAGGGACTTCTCCTCCAATACAGTCGAGAAGGAGGCGAGGAGAGGAGGCGAGGAGAGAGGGGGAGAGGATGCGAGGAGAGAGGCTGTGAGAAGAGAGGTGAGGAGAGAGGATGTGAGGAGAGAGGAGGCGAGGAGAGAGGAGGCGAGGAATCACTGAAAGACAAATTGAGATAGAGCCGAAGTAGGCTGCATCACAGCATGATCAGCATCACAGCTGCATGACAGTAGGCTACGCATGATCACAGTTAAGCTCCAGTGAGGAGGAGAGCCAAAGCAGGGAAAACACACTATGCTGCTATTGCCCTCCATGCATCAGAGAAATCTAGCCAGAGATGGTTTGATTTAGTGAGTGTGCATGATGATTCAGCCAGGAAATCCTCTTCAGAAATGCATGGCAGATCTGTTAATAAAATAGCATAATCATATATGAACATCATAAACATCAAGTGTCATAATTTAATTTGTACATTATGCATGCACATGATACACTCAGATTATACTTTGCATGTAGAATTTTGTCCTATAGCGAAACTAGAATTTTAAAATGTACTAGGCCTATTTGGATTAGGAAGATTTCCCACAGTAGGCTTTTACATCCTTATGACAAGTTAATGGGAGTGGACCTATAATGAAAGTGGGACTAGATTTATAGCCTGTTAGATAATAAATAAATCACTGTGTTAACATACTTCTGGAAGGATAAATCATATTATTATAGCCTATCTATTGAAACATGTGCCGTCGCAGAGATCAGCATCTGATATTCTTTCTGCACGTATTCAACTATGCGTCCTTACATCGCCCTTTCCTTGCCCACTCAATTCAACAACTTGTAGCCTATACGTTTCTTCTGCATTTGTGTTTTTTTAGGCATGTTATCCTTTACGTTTTGAGGGGTGATGCTGGGGTTTAGAAACCGCCGCATCCTTTCTCTGATCTAATTGTCAGTCGTGATTTCGCTGGTGGACGTGCAGTCGCCCTCGCACCCCTCCTGCGTCGTGAGTCCCATCCCAGCCAATCAGATCGTGAGGAAGAATCCGCTGCTACTCTCTTCCTGATTCCGCCCATTCATCAGCACCGCGGACTGTCACGAGCGCCTTCTCTGTCGAATGAACAAGAGAGAGCAGTACCCTTGCACACGGTTAGGCCAGATAAAGGTAAGATGAAGACTTTCAATTCTTTAGCGGAATTCGTTTTTTTTAGTTATGACTATAATTGCTTCTTGTCTCAAATCGTGTGAAAAATATCCGCTACTTTCTGATTATTTGTCTGATGCCATTGTAGGCCCTACATGATTTCCCCTTCATCATATTACCGAAAATGACGAGTGCTCTCAGACAGTGCTCTAAATCTTTGGTCTTTTGGCTTTTCATTTTCAAGCTATTAAAGACATGATGGTGCCTGGCCACGGCTTGCAGCCTGGTAGCTAGTCTATTTTTAACCCGTCCCGTCAGCTGGCGAGATGTCACTCCATTTAGAAACGGCAGTGAGGGGAAAGGAAAGGGCGTCAAGTTGCAACCACACAGCTAGATAACAGTGTTTTATTAGTACTGAAATACTCTGCCACACCTTCCTGTACCTTTTTGATAGATAAAGACAGTTCACTACTCATTCGTTGCTTGTCATGGGGCGGCTAAGTGCGTTTGGCCAGTAACCGATCCCCGATCCGGCAAGGTGGACATATCTGCTGTTCTGCCCTTGAGCAAGGCAGTTAACCCCCAACAAGTGCTCTCCGGGCGCCAATGACGTGGACATCGATTAAGGCAGCCTCCCCGCACCTCTCTGATTCAAAGGGGTTGGGTTGAATGCGGAAGACACATTTTCAGTTGCGCAACTGACTAGGTAACCCCCTTTGCCCATTCACTGGTATGCAGTGTGGCCAGCTACCAGTTTCTGGCTGCTATGGTGGACAGAATATTAAATGTAGCAATCTGTTGCAGATACAATGTAGCCAACTGTGGTTACTTTGTGGTTCCCTTTCAGAGATGCTATGAAATCAGTGTTTCCATTACACACCGAAGATAAATGTTGAAATACATTGTTTAATTTCTATTTGTTCAAGTTAATCATTAAACTAGGGAGAACACACTGCAAAATAGTTATTGTCATACCCAGAGATAAATGAAAAACAGGCGAAGCAAGAAGTTGAATTGAATCCTTGAATGTGAAGTATTTTATTATTTATTTCAGTGTGAGGAAGCCATTTTATAGTAGCCAATCAGCAGGTTCTATCCCTCCATCTCCATTTTATAGTAGCCTATCAGCAGGTTCTATCCCTCCATCTCCATTTTATAGTAGCCTATCAGCAGGTTCTATCCCTCCATCTCCATTTTATAGTAGCCTATCAGCAGGTTCTATCCCTCCATCTCCATTTTATAGTAGCCTATTAGCAGGTTCTATCCCTCCATCTCCATTTTATAGTAGCCTATCAGCAGGTTCTATCCCTCCATCTCCATTTTATAGTAGCCTATCAGCAGGTTTAACTCTGTCTTTCTCCATCTCTGCACACTGAGACAAGGGGGAAAAACCCCATGTATGTTTAGCTACATGTTATAAGTAATGTGTTATAGCTGTGTTATTATTACTACCACAGGATTACGTTCTGTTTCTTTAAACGTCAGCTCACTTTAGGTGCTGTGTGGTCCCAACTGTAGGCTAAAGATTGACTCCTGACCAGTGTTGTGAGTGCTATGGAGAGGAGGGTCCTGTCTGTGTCTATGTCTATGTATGTTCATGCAGGGCCCACATTGGCTCTTCTTCCCTTTCTGTGCTTTGTAGCCAGCGGCAAGTTTCCACACTATGGACATTTAATGCCAGAGCATTTTCCATTGGTCCAGCAGGGGTTGGTTGGTGGGGGCTTTAGTGGCTGAGGCTGGAACATGGGGTTCTTTCATCAGGGAAAGTCAGATAAAAACCGATGAATGAAAATCCATAGTCTGTGTGCAGAACAGTCTAGTACAAGGCAGGGCAGGGCAGGCCCGGACCTCAACCTGGTCTAAAATCGGATAAAACAGTGAATGAAAATCCATCACTTATGTTCTGTATTGGGGGAACACAGTCCCATTGCACCCGGGGCATCTGCAAAAAGACTGAATATAGAGCCTTGATGTGGTCTAAAAATCTCTCTTCTCCACACATTTCATAGTAGGGTAATGTTCAGGACAGTCCTATTACAGACGTCAGAGTAAAGGCTGTTTCATAGTAGGGTAATGTTCAGGACAGTCCTATTACAGACGTCACAGTAAAGGCTGTTTCATAGTAGGGTAATGTTCAGGACAGGCCAATTACAGACGTCACAGTAAAGGCTGTTTCATAGTAGGGTAATGTTCAGGACAGTCCTATTACAGACGTCAGAGTAAAGGCTGTTTCATAGTAGGGTAATGTTCAGGACAGTCCTATTACAGACGTCACAGTAAAGGCTGTTTCATAGTAGGGTAATGTTCAGGACAGTCCTATTACAGACGTCAGAGTAAAGGCTGTTTCATAGTAGGGTAATGTTCAGGACAGTCCTATTCCAGACGTCAGAGTAAAGGCTGTTTCATAGTAGGGTAATGTTCAGGACAGTCCTATTACAGACGTCAGAGTAAAGGCTGTTTCATAGTAGGGTAATGTTCAGGACAGGCCAATTACAGACGTCAGAGTAAAGGCTGTTTCATAGTAGGGTAATGTTCAGGACAGTCCTATTACAGACGTCAGAGTAAAGGCTGTTTCATAGTAGGGTAATGTTCAGGACAGGCCAATTACAGACGTCAGAGTAAAGGCTGTCTCATAGTAGGGTAATGTTCAGGACAGTCCTATTACAGACGTCACAGTAAAGGCTGTTTCATAGTAGGGTAATGTTCAGGACAGGCCAATTACAGACGTCACAGTAAAGGTATCCTAAGTTCTGAAATGGCTTTGAACCAAAAGTACACGTTGTGCTGTATTTCCCCTGTAAAGTGTTATATGTACCCGCCAAAGCCTAGGCAATGTCATGTGTCGTCAGCTAGTAATTTGCTTTGTCGTATGAAAAATACTTGGATGCAGCAATCGATTTAGGCCTGCGACACGCATGAGTCAGCAGAAAACATTGGTGCAGTAAAATGTCAGGTGAGACGGGCTACCTTCACATCTTAACCCAAGTGTCATTTGACCAAGTCATGCTGCAGAGATCGATGCTTCAGCCCCGTGAGAATCACCCATACGTATTTTACAAGGACACACCCATGCTTTGGCCCCGTGAGAATCACCCATACGTATTTTACAAGGACACACCCATGCTTTGGCCACCCAGACTGCAGTAACTTTGTACAGGTTTTTTTACACGTGGGCTGGCATCACATGACATTTTCCACAGTATTATCTGCACAGGTCTGCCAACTAGTTTCCCCATAGCAGTGGGTACATAGGTGCAGGCAGTGGACTTTTATGTTGACTTTATGCTTTTATGATTTTGTGTTTAATGCTTTCGTTTTTTTTATAATGTAATCTTTTCTGTTTTTATACTGTTGGATTCTGTCATTGAGCATTTCAAATGTTGCCAAGTCACTGTCCTGACTCACTGTCCTGATTCACTGTCCTGACTCACTGTCCTGACTCACTGTCCTGATTCACTGTCCTGATTCACTGTCCTGACTCACTGGCCTGACTCACTGTCCTGACTCACTGTCCTGATTCACTGTCCTGACTCACTGTCCTGATTCACTGGCCTGACTCACTGTCCTGATTCACTGTCCTGATTCACTGTCCTGACTCACTGTCCTGATTCACTGTCCTGACTCACTGTCCTGACTCACTGTCCAGACTCACTGTCCAGACTCACTGTCCTGACTCACTGTCCTGACTCACTGGCCTGACTCACTGGCCTGACTCACTGTCCTGACTCACTGTCCTGATTCACTGGCCTGACTCACTGTCCTGACTCACTGTCCTGATTCACTGTCCTGACTCACTGTCCTGATTCACTGTCCTGATTCACTGTCCTGACTCACTGGCCTGACTCACTGGCCTGACTCACTGTCCTGACTCACTGTCCTGATTCACTGTCCTGACTCACTGTCCTGATTCACTGTCCTGACTCACTGTCCTGATTCACTGGCCTGACTCACTGTCCTGATTCACTGTCCTGATTCACTGTCCTGATTCACTGTCCTGACTCACTGTCCTGACTCACTGTCCTGATTCACTGTCCTGACTCACTGGCCTGACTCACTGTCCTGATTCACTGTCCTGACTCACTGTCCTGATTCACTGTCCTGACTCACTGTCCTGACTCACTGTCCTGACTCACTGTCCTGATTCATTGTCCTGACTCACTGTCCTGATTCACTGTCCTGACTCACTGTCCTGACTCACTGTCCTGACTCACTGTCCTGATTCACTGTCCTGACTCACTGGCCTGACTCACTGTCCTGATTCACTGTCCTGACTCACTGTCCTGATTCACTGTCCTGACTCACTGTCCTGACTCACTGTCCTGACTCACTGTCCTGATTCACTGTCCTGATTCACTGTCCTGACTCACTGTCCTGACTCACTGTCCTGACTCACTGTCCTGACTCACTGTCCTGACTCACTGTCCTGATTCACTGTCCTGACTCACTGTCCTGACTCACTGTCCTGACTCACTGTCCTGATTCACTGTCCTGATTCACTGTCCTGACTCACTGTCCTGACTCACTGTCCTGACTCACTGTCCTGACTCACTGTCCTGATTCACTGTCCTGACTCACTGTCCTGACTCACTGTCCTGACTCACTGTCCTGATTCACTGTCCTGACTCACTGTCCTGACTCACTGTCCTGATTCACTGTCCTGACTCACTGTCCTGACTCACTGTCCAGACTCACTGTCTCAGACTCACTGTCCTGACTCACTGTCCTGACTCACTGTCCCCATGTCCAGACTCACTGTCCTGACTCACCTGGCCCTGACTCACTGGCCTGAACTCACTGTCCTGACTCACTGTCCTGCTTCACTGTCCTGACTCACTGTCCTGATTCACTGGCCTGACTCACTGTCCTTGATTCACTGTCCTGATTCACTGTCCTGATGCACTGTCCCGACTCACTGTCCTGACTCACTGTCCTGATTCACTGTCCTGACTCACTGTCCTGACTCACTGTCCTGATTCACTGTCCTGACTCACTGTCCTGATTCACTGTCCTGACTCACTGTCCTGACTCACTGTCCTGACTCACTGTCCTGATTCATTGTCCTGACTCACTGTCCTGATTCACTGTCCCTGACTCACTGTCCTGACTCACTGTCCCTGACTCACTGTCCTGATTCACTGTCCTGACTCACTGTCCTGACTCACTGTCCTGACTCACTGTCCTGATTCACTGTCCTGATTCACTGTCCTGACTCACTGTCCCTGACTCACTGTCCTGATTCACTGTCCTGACTCACTGTCCTGACTCACTGTCCTGACTCACTGTCCTGATTCACTGTCCTGATTCACTGTCCTGACTCACTGTCCTGATTCACTGTCCTGACTCACTGTCCTGACTCACTGTCCTGACTCACTGTCCTGATTCACTGTCCTGATTCACTGTCCTGACTCACTGTCCTGACTCACTGTCCTGACTCACTGTCCTGACTCACTGTCCTGACTCACTGTCCTGACTTCAGACCTAGATCCTCACTGAGGGCTAGTGTGTAGATGTCAATACTTCTGATGTCTTCGACATTTACTTCTCTCCCATCCTCCTTCCTCTCCTCTCTCCCATCCTCTTCCTCTCCTCTCTCCCATCCTCTTCCTCTCCTCTCTCCCATCCTCTTCCTCTCCTCTCTCCCATCCTCTTTCTCTCCTCTCTCCTCTCCTGTGTAGTTCCAGAACCATGTCCATCCTGAAGATTCACGCTCGTGAGATTTTCGACTCCCGTGGAAACCCCACCGTGGAGGTCGACCTGTACACCAAGAAAGGTAAGAGATTATACTGGAGCAGGGCAGTTTGCATAGTTTAAGCAACATTGCATGCATGCACATACCCAATGGACAGAGTGAGTTAGCTCCAGGCTAGTCCCTCTCCAACGGACAGAGTGAGTTAGCTCCAGGCTAGTTCCTCTCCAACTGGCAGAGTGAGTTAGCTCCAGGCTAGTCCCTCTCCAACTGGCAGAGTGAGTTAGCTCCAGGCTAGTCCCTCTCCAACTGGCAGAGTGAATTAGCTCCAGGCTAGTCCCTCTCCAACTGGCAGAGTGAGTTAGCTCCAGGCTAGTCCCTCTCCAACGGGCAGAGTGAATTAGCTCCAGGCTAGTCCCTCTCCAACGGGCAGAGTGAGTTAGCTCCAGGCTAGTCCCTCTCCAACGGGCAGAGTGAGTTAGCTCCAGGCTAGTCCCTCTCCAACGGGCAGAGTGAATTAGCTCCAGGCTAGTCCCTCTCCAACGGGCAGAGTGAGTTAGCTCCAGGCTAGTCCCTCTCCAACGGGCAGAGTGAGTTAGCTCCAGGCTAGTCCCTCTCCATCTGGCAGAGTGAGTTAGCTCCAGGCTAGTCCCTCTCCAACGGACAGAGTGAGTTAGCTCCAGGCTAGTCCCTCTCCATCTGGCAGAGTGAGTTAGCTCCAAGCTAGTCCCTCTCCAACGGGCAGAGTGAGTTAGCTCCAGGCTAGTCCCTCTCTAACGGACAGAGTGAGTTAGCTCCAGGCTAGTCCCTCTCCAACTGGCAGAGTGAGTTAGCTCCAGGCTAGTCCCTCTCTAACGGACAGAGTGAGTTAGCTCCAGGCTAGTCCCTCTCCAACGGGCAGAGTGAGTTAGCTCCAGGCTCTCTCCAACTGGCAGAGTGAGTTAGCTCCAGGCTAGTCCCTCTCCAAACTGGCAGAGTGAGTTAGCTCCAGGCTAGTCCCTCTCCAACTGGCAGAGTGAGTTAGCTCCAGGCTAGTCCCTCTCCAACGGGCAGAGTGAGTTAGCTCCAGGCTAGTCCCTCTCCAACTGGCAGAGTGAGTTAGCTCCAGGCTAGTCCCTCTCCATCTGGCAGAGTGAGTTAGCTCCAGGCTAGTCCCTCTCCAACGGGCAGAGTGAGTTAGCTCCAGGCTAGTCCCTCTCTAACGGACAGAGTGAGTTAGCTCCAGGCTAGTCCCTCTCCAACTGGCAGAGTGAGTTAGCTCCAGGCTAGTCCCTCTCTAACGGACAGAGTGAGTTAGCTCCAGGCTAGTCCCTCTCCAACGGGCAGAGTGAGTTAGCTCCAGGCTCTCTCCAACTGGCAGAGTGAGTTAGCTCCAGGCTAGTCCCTCTCCAACTGGCAGAGTGAATTAGCTCCAGGCTAGTCCCTCTCCAACTGGCAGAGTGAGTTAGCTCCAGGCTAGTCCCTCTCCAACTGGCAGAGTGAGTTAGCTCCAGGCTAGTCCCTCTCCAACTGGCAGAGTGAGTTAGCTCCAGGCTAGTCCCTCTCCAACTGGCAGAGTGAGTTAGCTCCAGGGTAAGGGTAGCCTATATCCTACAGTCGACTAGAGAGATCTAGCAGATCAGACGGAGTTGGGGGAGCATAAATAGCCCCCTGTTTGTAATGGTCATACAAAGATAAATACAGTAGGATCAGTGTTTCCCCTATATTGATTTAGCAGCGGTGCCCTGCTGAGACGTGCTTCTAAAGGGATAGTGAGAGATTGGCAATTAAGCCCTTTTTCTACTCACCCAGAGTCAGATGAACTGCATGCAGTTTGAAGGATGTTGCTAACTAGCTATTCACTGATATGCAGTGTGGCCAACTACCAGTTGTTGGCTTCCAGATAGTACTAGCGTGGACTGAATACTAAATGTTGCAAATTTGTTGCAAGATACAGTGTAGCCAACTGTGGTTACTTTGTGGTTCCCTTTCAGACATGTTAAGAAATCAATGCTACTATGTTTCCATTGCACACTGAAAGTGGACTAGACATAGTGCACGTTTACTAAGATAAATGTTTAAATAAATAGTTTAATTTCTATTTGTTAGAGTTAATCATTAAACTAGGGAGAACACACAGCAAAATATGTCTTGTCATACCCAGAGATAAATGAAAAACAGGCGAAGGCAAGAAGTTGAATTGAATCCTTGAATGTGAAGTATTTTATTATTTATTTCAGTGTGAGGAAGCCATTTTATAGTAGCCAATCAGCAGGTTCTATCCCTCCATCTCCATTTTATAGTAGCCTATCAGCAGGTTCTATCCCTCCATCTCCATTTTATAGTAGCCAATCAGCAGGTTCTATCCCTCCATCTCCATTTTATAGTAGCCAATCAGCAGGTTCTATCCCTCCATCTCCATTTTATAGTAGCCAATCAGCAGGTTGTCACGCTCGTTGATAGACAGATCGGACCAAGGTGCAGCGTGGTATGCGTACATATTACTTTATTAACTGAATACAACTCAAACAAGAAAATACAAACGAACGTGAAGTTCAACAGGCTGCACAAGCCAAAACAGAAACAAAGATCCCACAACTAAGGTAGGCAAAATGGCTACCTAAGTATGATCCCCAATCAGAGACAACGATCGACAGCTGCCTCTGATTGGGAACCACACCCGGCCAAACATAGAAATACAACATCTAGAATTCCCACTCTGACCAAACCAACTAGAGAAAAACAGGGCTCTCAAGGTCAGGGCGTGACACATGATCGATCCCTCCATCTCCAATCTGACACTTCCGGTTCCCAAATGGCACCCTATTCCCTATATAGTGCGCTACTTTTGAACTACTACTTTTATTGCATCCCTATGAGCCCGTCCAAAAAGTAGTGCACTGTATAGTGAATAAGGTGCCATTTGGGATGCTGACCATAGATACATGCAGTACAGAGTTCAGGGGCTTGACCCTGTAAGACAGTCCTTAGAGACCCTGTAAGACAGTCCTTAGAGACCCTGTAAGACAGTCCTTAGAGAGGCCCTAGAGGCCTAAAAGATGCCGGGTTAATACTTATTATACTGTAGCTTGTTTACCAGGAATTAGTCATTTTTTATAAGTTTTTCTGGGGTAATCACTGAAGTCTTCTAATACTCTTCTTCGTGTGAATTTTGAAGTAATATTAAAGTGTTGTTGATCGTGCAGCACAGAACATTACAGACCTGTCATTTTGTAATGCGATTACGATTAATTGGAAATCGATACCTTACTTTCAAGATGTATTTTTTTTATCACAACCAACCTAACAATATTCAACCAACTAACTATGAATATCCAGAGTGGGAATCGGGGTTCCGCTGCCCTTGTAAAGAGCGGAGTTCCTTTGTCATTCTGCTCCGTGGGCTAAAACAAAGCAGTTATTTCAACTTAATGAATGAATGTCCTGAATGTTAATGAAGCTATCTGAATTAGGCCACCAGAGGAAGAGGAAAGGGGGGGGGGGGGGGGAGAGACATGTTGGACTTGAAATCCACCCCAAAAAAAGGGCCAAGTATTTTCCCTTTGTCTTGCTCTCTTTTGACCGTTTGTGGGAAGGTTGCTAGGTGCTCTAAGCTACTATAAATAGCAGCTTCACGGTTTCTAGTTTAGGATGGCTGGGATCCTAACCTTGTCTCCCTCAACCAAGCCACAGCCTGATTTAGCATTGGATGCGTCCCATATGGAACCCCCTGTTCCCTTTAGAGTGCACTATTGTTTTGACCAAGGTCCAAAGGGATTCCCACAGGGCTCTGTTCAAAAGTAGTGCACTATAAAGGGAACAGGGTGCCATTTGGGATACACATTGTGTTGTCTGCTGCTGTATAAAAAAAGGGTTGGATTGTTGGGCACATGCAGAGATGTAATGTGTCTGCTGCTGTATAACATAAGGGGTTTGAATTACAGTGTGTACTAGAAGGGCTGCATCGTCCTTCTGTATCTATTTTCAGATCCAGTAGTCATCCTATGGGATGAGAGTAACTGTACTTTTTAATGTATATTTTTTATTTTATTAATATTATTTCAGTTTTAATGTATATTTTTTATTTTTAGAACAGACGGACGGCTGCCAACGAAACGCGTTTGTTTGTTCTGACCTCTGCTGCTAAAAGAAATACATTCAAAACTTTAAAGAATATTTATTTCAGTGAGTGCAGGTTTTTTCTTTCTTTTGAACCCGGAAACCAAATACCTTTTGTTTGCTATAAACATTAAGCTGAGCGCGCTAATTTCTCTTTCTATAAGAGTGACTGTCACGTCCTCTGATGGGGTTTTCTAACCACTATTAGTAGCTGGACAGAGGTATCTAACAGAATCTAGGCCTATTATATAAAAAAATAACCTTACTGAATTCAGACATACTGTAGATGTGTCCAACATGCAATGTGTTGCATGCTTTGTATTGCTGCTTTGATTGTAGTTGATTTGAAAACAAGTGAAATCACTAAGACTAAATTAATCTGAATAGGTTTATTTGGCTTGAGTGCAAGGGCTATATCAAGCATCCCATAGTTGATTTCTTGATGCAGATGATTTGATAAGCCTGAACTCATGGCCCAACTCATGGCTCTCTGTGGTTAAGCTTTAAATCCCTCCTGTTCTCATGACCCCTGTCATTGGTTTGATCAACATCTTTTTTTTGTTGTTGCCCAATGAGCAGTTAGAATCAAATTTGCGCATCCAGTATCTTTCTTCACATTGTTGAATCCAAAATGTCTGACCTTGGTGTGTGTCTGAGCCAGCAGTCACATCCTGGGAAGCTGCTGCACTGTGTGTGTGTGTGTGTGTGTGTGTGTGTGTGTGTGTGTGTGTGTGTGTGTGTGTGTGTGTGTGTGTGTGTGTGTGTGTGAGCCAGCTGTCGCACCGGGAGGCTGCTACACTGTGTTTGTGTGTGTGTGTATGTGTGTGTGTGTGTGTGTGTGTGTGTGTGAGCCAGCTGTCGCACCGGGAGGCTGCTACACTGTGTTTGTGTGTGTGTGCGTGTGTGCGTGTGTGTGTGGTGTGTGTGGTGTGTGTGTGGTGTGTGGTGTGGTGTGTGTGTGCGTGTTTATGTGTGTGTGTGTGTGTGTGTGTGTGTGCGTGTGTGTGTGTGCGTGTGTTGCGTGTGTGTGTGCGTGTGTGTGCGTGCGTGCGTGTGTGTGCGTGTGCGTGTGTGTGCGTGTGTGTTTGAGCCAGCTGTCGCATCGGGAGGCTGCTACACTGTGTTTGTGTGTGTGTGCGTGTGTGTGTGCGTGTGTGTGCGTGTGCGTGTGTGTATGTGCGTGTGTGTGCGTGTTTCTGTGTGTGTGTGTGTGTGTGTGCGTGTGTGTGTGTGTGTGTGTGTGTGTGCGTGCGTGCGTGTGTGTGTGTTTGAGCCAGCTGTCGCATCGGGAGGCTGCTACACCGCACATGCTCAGTAGAGAACTTTTATTCTCTGTCCAACCCTGTTACATCACATTGATCTGCTTAGCAACCCCCCCCTGACCGAGGGGATGCTTGCTGCTCATTGGATGATTTTGATTTCCTGTTGCTTTCACTATGAACAACAAACAACCTCCATACTACACTACAGTGCATTCGGAAAGTATTCAGACCCCTTAACTTTTTCCACATTTTGTTACGTTACAGCCTTATTCTAAAATTGATTAAATTCATTTTTTTCCTCGTCAATATACACACAATACCCCATAATGACAAAGCGAAAACAGGTTTGTATAATACAAAATAATAAAAAGATACCATATTTACATAAGTATTCAGACCCTTTGCTATGAGACTCGAAATTGAGTTCAGGTGCATCCTGTTTCCATTGATCATCCTTGAGATGTTTCAACAACTTTGATTGGAGTCCACCTGTGGTAAATGTAATTAATTGGACATGATTTGGAAAGGCACACACCTGTCTATATAATTTCCCACAGTTGACAGTGCATGTCAGAGCAAAAACTAAGCCATGAGGTCAAAAGGAATTGTCCGTAGAGCTCTGAGACAGGATTGTGTCGAGGCACAGATCTGGGGAAGGGTACCAAAAAATGTCTGCAGCATTGAAGGTCCCCAAGAACACAGTGGCCTCCATCATTCTTAAATGGAAGAAGTTTGGAACCACCAAGACTCTTCCTAGAGCTGGCCGCCCGGCCAAACTGAGCAATCGGGGGAGAAGGGCCTTTGTCAGGGAGGTGACCAAGAACCGATGGTCACTCTGACAGAGCTCCAGAGTTCCTCTGTGGAGATGGGAGAACCTTCCAGAAGGACAACCATCTCTGCAGCACTCCACCTATCAGGCCTTTATGGTAGAGTGGCCAGACGGAAGCCACTCCTCAGTAAAAGGCACATGACAGCCCGCTTGGAGTTTGCCAAAAGGCACCTAAAGGACTGTAAGACCATGAGAAACAAGATTCTCTGGTCTGATGAAACCAAGATTGAACTCTTTGGCCTGAATGCTGGAGGAAGCCTGGCACCATCCCTATGGGGAAGCATGGTGGTGGCAGCATCATGCTGTGGGGGTCAGCGGCAGGGACTGGGAGACTAGTCAGGATCGAGGGAAAGATGAACAGAGCAAAGTACAGAGAGATCCTTGATGAAAACCTGCTCCAGAGCGCTCAGGACCTCAGACTGGGGCGAAGGTTCACCTTCCAACAGGACAACCGCCCTAAGCACACAGCCAAGACAACGCAGGAGTGGCTTCGGGACAAGTCTCTGAATGTCCTTGAGTGGCCCAGCCAGAGCCCAGACTTGAACCCGATCGAACATCTCTGGAGAGACCTGAAAATAGCTGTGCAGCGATGCTCCCCATCCAACCTGACAGAGCTTGAGAGGATCTGCAGAGAAGAATGGGAGAAACTCCCCAAATACAGGTGTGCCAAGCATGTAGCATCATACCCAAGAAGACTCAAGGCCTGTTTTTGCTTTGTCAATATGGGGTATTATGTATAGGTTGACTAGGAAAAAAAACAATTTAGTGAATTTTAGAATAAGGCTGTAATGTAACAAAATGTGGAAAAAGTCAAGGGGTCTGAATACTTTCTGAATGCACTGTATATTGCCAAAATGACAAAATATGATTTTCAGGATGGATATCTATGGATATGAGAGTTTTTTCTGGATGAGTATGGAGCTTAGTTGGTGGGCGTGGCAGTGGGCGTGGCCAATGGCTCGGTCGCTGACCAAACATTTTAGAGGCCTTCTTCTTGACAATCGAGACAAAATGTTGCTGTTTTAAAGCTAATTTCCTAACATTCTACACATAAAATCAAATTTTATTTCTCACATGCTTCGTAAACAGCAGGTGTAGACTAACAGTAAAATGCGTACTTCAGGGTCCTTTTCCAACAGTGTAGAGTTAAAGATAAAACATATATATATATATATATATTACAATTAAAACATTTGCAGTTTTAAAGCTGAATTCCTGCAGTTCTACACAAATGCTGTGTTCTTATGCTATCTGAGTGACTCAAACATTATAACAAAAATCAATGGGGGCCCCATGCCATGACAAAAATACTTCTGAATGCATCATTTTTTAACTTTTAAATTCTCATTGACTGTCTAGTTTTTATTTTGGTGATTTGTTAGTTCTCAAAGATGATCGTATTTAAAAAATATATTGCTCCTTTATCTTTTCTACATACTTTATATCTGGGTTTTAGTTCACAATTATTTTTACTGTTTGGACTTAGTCTGCCCGAAAAAAAACACTACTATAGCATGTAGAAAAACCTCTGAATATTCATAATATGGATGTATTAAGGTCGGTTCAGGGCTGCAGTGACAAACATTTTGAGGATGGATATTTCTGATATGAATTTCTTTAATTATGGGGTATTGAATTTCTTTAATTAGGATGCAACAGCCAGCCTCCTGCAGTGAGTCGGGAAATGAATTTGAAACACAATAGAGTCGTTAAAATCCTCTGTGTTCTCCAGGTCTGTTCAGGGCTGCCGTCCCCAGCGGTGCCTCTACTGGTATCTATGAAGCTCTGGAGCTCCGCGACAACGACAAGACACGCTACCTGGGCAAAGGTACGCTTTGATTTCCAATGGCCTTATAGTACAAAGCCCCCTCTTTGAATGTATGTCCTTAAAGTACAAATCCCCCTCTTTGAATGTATGTCCTTAAAGTACAAAGCCCCCTCTTTGAATGTATGTCCTTAAAGTACAAAGCCCCCTCTTCAAAAATGTTCCGTTACATCATTCCTTTCTGACACTTCATCAATCTTTCCTCCTCTGTCAGGGGTGAAAAGAGCTGTTAAATATATTAATGAGTTCTTGGCTCCAGCACTGTGTAACCAGGTAAATACACAGTGTGGAGTAACAACAGGAGTGACACAGAAATAACACTGAAATGAACTGGAGTTGATGAAAGCATGACTTTTGAGTGGGTTAGCTTTGATTTGACAACGTAACTAACCTCTGTGGCAGGCATTCACAGATGATCACAGATAAACCATTATTACCCCCCACTGAAATATATTGACTAGAACGGACATTCCCATTCAAGTCAGCGTTCCGTGATGGGTGGGTCGACTGGCAGACCTTTTGTCATTCTATTTTTTTGTGATTACCCCCATGATCCCAATAGTGGATCATTCCACTTGACGTTTGTTTAACCAGCCTAGTTGCTGCCACCCAAGCAGCCAGTCATAGCGAGAGCTAAGGCTTGCTCTGTGATCATCTGGTACTGCCTGCTGCTCTTGCATGGTCTACTTCTCCCTGGGTTGTGACGCTCTGCTTGTCCCTCTGCAGGTGTCTCAAAAGCTGTTGATCATATCAATAAAACTATTGCACCTGCACTTGTTCGGCAGGTAGGAACATTTACTGTTTGACTAACATTGACAATGTTGTACTAGTGTCAAGTAAGAGTTGCATAGAGTTTACAGTATGGCATAGAGTTTACAGTATGACATAGAGTTTACAGTATGACATAGTTTACAGTATGACATAGAGTTTACAGTATGGCATAGAGTTTACAGTATGACATAGTTTACAGTATGACATAGAGTTTACAGTATGACATAGAGTTTACAGTATGTCATAGAGTTTACAGTATGGCATAGCGTTTACAGTATGCCATAGAGTTTACAGTATGCCATAGAGTTTACAGTATGGTGTAGAGTTTACAGTATGGCATATAGTTTACAGTATGCCATAGAGTTTACAGTATGCCATAGAGTTTACAGTATGCCATAGAGTTTACAGTATGGTGTAGTGTTTACAGTATGACATAGAATTGACAGTATGGTGTAGAGTTTACAGTATGGCATATAGTTTACAGTATGGCATAGAGTTTACAGTATGGCATAGAGTTTACAGTATGACATATAGTTTACAGTATGGCATAGAGTTTACAGTATGACATAGAGTTTACAGTATGTCATAGAGTTTACAGTATGACATAGAGTTTACAGTATGGCATAGAGTTTACAGTATGACATATAGTTTACAGTATGGCATAGAGTTTACAGTATGGCATAGAGTTTACAGTATGGCATAGAGTTTACAGTATGGTGTAGAGTTTACTGTATGACATAGAGTTTACAGTATGACATAGAGTTTACAGTATGGCATAGAGTTTACAGTATGGCATAGAGTTTACAGTATGGCATAGAGTTTACAGTATGGCATAGAGTTTACAGTATGGTGTAGAGTTTACTGTATGACATAGAGTTTACAGTATGACATAGAGTTTACAGTATGACATAGAGTTTACAGTATGGTGTAGAGTTTACAGTATGATGTAGAGTTTACAGTATGGCATAGAGTTTACAGTATGACATATAGTTTACAGTATGATGTAGAGTTTACAGTATGGCATAGAGTTTACAGTATGATGTAGAGTTTACAGTATGATGTAGAGTTTACAGTATGGCATATAGTTTACAGTATGGCATAGAGTTTACAGTATGATGTAGAGTTTACAGTATGGCATAGAGTTTACAGTATGGCATAGAGTTTACAGTATGATGTAGAGTTTACAGTATGGCATAGAGTTTACTGTATGACATAGAGTTTACAGTATGACATAGAGTTTACAGTATGACATAGAGTTTACAGTATGGCATAGAGTTTACAGTATGGCATAGAGTTTACAGTATGATGTAGAGTTTACAGTATGATGTAGAGTTTACAGTATGATGTATAGTTTACAGTATGGCATAGAGTTTACAGTATGATGTAGAGTTTACAGTATGGCATATAGTTTACAGTATGGTGTAGAGTTTACAGTATGGCGTAGAGTTTACAGTATGGTGTAGAGTTTACATTATGATATATAGTTTACAGTATGGTATAGAGTTTACAGTATGACGTAGAGTTTACAGTATGGCGTAGAGTTTACAGTATGACATATAGTTTACAGTATGGCATAGAGTTAACAGTATGACATAGAGTTTACAGTATGGCATAGAGTTTACAGTATGACGTAGAGTTTACAGTATGGCGTAGAGTTTACAGTATGGTGTAGAGTTTACAGTAAGACTTAGAGTTTACAGTAAGACTTAGAGTTTACAGTATGGCATAGAGTTTACAGTATGGCATATAGTTTACAGTATGGCATAGAGTTTACAGTATGACATATAGTTTACAGTATGGCATATAGTTTACAGTATGGCATAGAGTTTACAGTATGGCATATAGTTTACAGTATGGTATATAGTTTACAGTATGACATATAGTTTACAGTATGGCATATAGTTTACAGTATGGCATAGAGTTTACAGTATGGCATAGAGTTTACAGTATGGCATAGAGTTTACAGTATGGTGTAGAGTTTACAGTATGCCATAGAGTTTACAGTATGACATAGAGTTTACAGTATGGCATAGAGTTTACAGTATGGTGTAGAGTTTACAGTATGCCATAGAGTTTACAGTATGCCATAGAGTTTACAGTATGGCATAGAGTTTACAGTATGGCATATAGTTTACAGTATGGCGTAGAGTTTACAGTATGACATATAATTGACAGTATGGTGTAGAGTTTACAGTATGCCATATAGTTTACAGTATGCCATATAGTTTACAGTATGGTGTAGAGTTTACAGTATAGCATATAGTTTACAGTATGGCATAGCGTTTACAATATGACATAGAGTTTACAGTATGGCATAGAGTTTACAGTATGTCATGGAGTTTACAGTATGGCATATAGTTTACAATATGACATAGAGTTTACAGTATGTCATAGAGTTTACAGTATGTCATAGAGTTTACAGTATGACATAGAGTTTACAGTATGGCATAGAGTTTACAGTATGGCATAGAGTTTACAGTATACTGCAGAGCTCCATGGCTCTTTCAGCCTGCCTAGTAACCTGCCTAGTAACCTGCCTAGTAACCTGCCTAGTAACCTGCCTAGTAACACCTCAAGATGCTGTGTGTAGTGTGTACTAGTGAGCCATAAACGTCCTTCAAGCCTGGCGTTTTGAGCTAACCTGTTTGAACTTTGAACTAACCTTTTGTCTGTTTGTTTTCAGTTCCTCCCATCTCTAACGGTGTGTCTGTCTGTCTGTCTGTCTGTCCTGTTGTTCAGGATGTCAGCGTCGTGGAGCAGGAGAAGGTGGACAAGCTGATGCTGGACATGGATGGCACAGAGAACAAGTGTAAGTTGGGTAACAGTTTGCTTAGAGCCTGCCGGTATAAAGCTTTATAAATGGTTATAAACAGGTATGAGCCTTTATAATAAGGCATAGAGAACACGTGATAGTAAACCGCATGTTTTTTAAACTTATGTTTTACAGCTCAGTCCCACTTTCAAAGAAGAATAATTAATAAAGGCTGTATAGAGCAGTCATAAAGGCTGTATAGAGCAGTCATAAAGGCTGTCTAGAGCAGTCATAAAGGCTGTATAGAGCAGTCATAAAGGCTGTATAGAGCAGTCATAAAGGCTGTCTAGAGCAGTCATAAAGGCTGTATAGAGCAGTCATAAAGGCTAGCAGTCATAAAGGCTGTATAGAGCAGTCATAAAGGCTGTATAGAGCAGTCATAAAGGCTGTATAGAGCAGTCATAAAGGCTGTATAAAGCAGTCATAAAGGCTGTATAGAGCAGTCATAAAGGCTGTATAGAGCAGTCATAAAGGCTGTATAGAGCAGTCATAAAGGCTGTATAGAGCAGTCATAAAGGCTGTATAGAGCAGTCATAAAGGCTGTATAGAGCAGTCATAAAGTCTTTATGAGCACTACATGGATGCTTCCATTTCATTTATAAGAAATGGCTAAATGTAAGTTGCTTCTCTTGGCTTATTTATTAGTTGTGAATATTCAGCAGGCAGAGCAAAAAGTTATGGTTATGCATAGGGACGCATAGGTTAGGGTTAGGGAGGGTGAGGTATAGGGGGGATGAGGTTAGGGTTAGGGAGGGTGAGGTATAGGGGGGATGAGGTTAGGGTTAGGGAGGGTGAGGTATAGGGGGGATGAGGTTAGGGTTAGGGAGGGTGAGGTATAGGGGGGATGAGGTTAGGGTTAGGGAGGGTGAGGTATAGGGGGGATGAGGTTAGGGTTAGGGAGGGTGAGGTTAGGGGGGATGAGGTTAGGGTTAGGGAGGGTGGAGTATATAGGGGGATAGGTTCAGGGTTGGGGGGTGAGGTATAGGGGGGATGAGGTTAGGGTTGGGAGGTGAGGTTAGGGGGTGAGGTTAGGTTAGGGAGGGTGAGGTATGCGGTGAGGTTAGGGTTAGGGAGGGTGAGGTATAGGGGGGATGAGGTTAGGGTTAGGGAGGTGAGGTATAGGGGGGATGGAGGTTAGGGTGAGGAGGGTGAGGTATAGGGGGAGGGATGAGGTTAGGGGTTAGGGCGGGTTGCGGTATAGGGGGGGATGAGGTTGGGGTTAGGGAGGGTGGGTATATGGGGGAAGGGTTACATTTAGATGTAGAGTTGGTGAACTGCCATCCTGAACCATTCAAAATCTGCCGGCTGTACGCTGCCTTATTTCTTCACAGCATTGAGTTAACGTGGAGATTCTAGTTACGCAGTACATATACAGTACACCAATGTACTAGGCGTCAATACAAAGACCCCAAATAGCCTTTTGTTGTCCCCTTGAAGGGAATAGAAGCTGTGTACAGAAAAGAGAATAGAAGCTGTGTACAGAAAATAGAATAGAAGCTGTGTACAGAAAATAGAATATAAACTGTATGGGCTGCACTTAACCCCCCCCCCCCCACAGCTAAGTTTGGTGCCAATGCCATCCTGGGCGTGTCCCTGGCTGTGTGCAAGGCCGGGGCTGCTGAGAAAGGTGTCCCCCTGTACCGTCACATCGCTGACCTCGCTGGCAACCCCGACGTCATCCTCCCCGTCCCCGTAAGCCTGCTTTTACTTATTAAAGATTTGATATTTATGTGACTGACCTTGGTTTGAACCCCGGTCTCCTGTTAGCAATAAGTATTTTAGCCCTCCAAACTAAAGCCTAGGCATTGGCTTGGGGAGTTAACACAACCCTTCAGGTTTCAGACAACGCTACTCATCACCCCATAGTGGTTCACCCAATCACCTCTTATATTTACAACATGACTTTACTTATCTTTAACTGTAATTACCGAACCACCTCTTATATTTACAACATTACTTTACTTATCTTTAACTGTAATTACCGAACCACCTCTTATATTTACAACATGACTTTACTTATCTTTAACTGTAATTACCGAACCACCTCTTATATTTACAACATTACTTTACTTAGCTTTAACTTTAATTTGAAACTTAAGCTCAAACCTCTTCCGTCTCTGTCCAGGCCTTCAACGTGATCAACGGAGGTTCCCACGCAGGCAACAAGCTGGCCATGCAGGAGTTCATGATCCTCCCTGTAGGAGCCAGCACCTTCAAGGAGGCCATGAGGATCGGAGCTGAGGTCTACCACAACCTGAAGAACGTTATCAAGAAGAAGTACGGCCAGGACGCCACTAACGTGGGAGACGAGGGAGGTTTTGCCCCTAACATCCTGGAGAACAAGGAAGGTGAGAGAGAGAGAGAGAGAGAGAGAGATGAGAGAGAGAGAGAGAGAGGAGAGATGGAGAGATGATGGAGGTAGAGATGGACGGAGGGAAGAGAGAGAGATGGAGGGGTTGAGAGATGGACGGAGGGAGAGATGGACGGAGGGAAAGAGAGAGATGGTGGGGTTGAGAGATGGACGGAGGGAGAGACAGGGACGGAGGGGTTGAGAGATGGACGGAGGGGTAGAGACAGGGATGGAGGGAGGGAGGGGTGGTTAGAGAGGGGATGGAGGGGTAGAGAGAGGGACGGATGGAGGGGGTGAGAGAGGGATGGAGGGGTAGAGAGAGGGAGGGAGGGAGGGGTTGAGAGAGAGATGGAGGGGAAGAGAGGGGAGAGATGGTTGAGAGAGGGAGGGAGGGGTTGAGAGAGGGATGGATGGAGGAATGCCACTAACGTAGAAGACGAGGGAATCTTCTCTTCCAACATCCTGGAGAACAAGGAAGTAGAGTGACGATGAGCGTCAGTCAGTTAATCAATCAGTTCAGATGGACAAGGTAAATCAGTCAGTTAATCAATCCGTTCAGATTTGACAAGTAAGTCAGTCAGGTAATCAATCAGGGGGGGGTTTTTTTTTTTTCAGATTGACAGTAAGTCAGTCAGTAATCAATCAGTCAGATTGACAGTAAGTCAGTCGGTAATCAATCAGTCACATTGACAGTAAGTCAGTCAGTTAATCAATCAGTCAGATTGACAGTAAATCAGTCAGTTAATCAATCAGTCAGATTGACAGTAAGTCAGTCAGTTAATCAATCAGTCAGATTGACAGTAAATCAGTCAGTTAATCAATCAGTCAGATTGACAGTAAGTCAGTCAGTTAATCAATCAGTCAGATTGACAGTAATTCAGTCAGTTAATCAATCAGTCAGATTGACAGTAATCAGTCAGTTAATCAATCAGTCAGATTGACAGTAAATCAGTCAGTTATTCAATCAGTCAGATTGACAGTAAATCAGTCAGTTAATCAATCAGTCAGATTGACAGTAAGTCAGTCAGTTAATCAATCAGTCAGATTGACAGTAAGTCAGTCAGTTAATCAATCAGTCAGATTGACAGTAAATCAGTCAGTTAATCAATCAGTCAGATTGACAGTAAATCAGTCAGTTAATCAATCAGTCAGATTGACAGTAAATCAGTCAGTTAATCAATCAGTCAGATTGACAGTAATTCAGTCAGTTAATCAATCAGTCAGATTGACAGTAAATCAGTCAGTTAATCAATCAGTCAGATTGACAGTAAATCAGTCAGTTAATCAATCAGTCAGATTGACAGTAAGTCAGTCAGTTAATCAATCAGTCAGATTGACAGTAAATCAGTCAGTTAATCAATCAGTCACATTGACAGTAAGTCAGTCAGTTAATCAATCAGTCAGATTGACAGTAAGTCAGTCAGTTAATCAATCAGTCAGATTGACAGTAAATCAGTCAGTTAATCAATCAGTCAGATTGACAGTAAATCAGTCAGTTAGTCAATAAGTCAGATTGACAGTAAGTCAGTCAGTTAATCAGTCAGTCAGTTAATCAATCAGTCAGATTGACAGTAAATCAGTCAGTTAATCAATCAGTCAGATTGACAGTAAATCAGTCAGTTAATCAATCAGTCAGATTGACAGTAAGTCAGTCAGTGCCAGGTCAGTGTAGTTCAGTGCCAGGTCAGTGTAGTTCAGTGCCAGGTCAGTGTAGCTCAGTGCCAGGTCAGTGTAGCTCAGTGCCAGGTCAGTGTAGCTCAGTGCCAGGTCAGTGTAGCTCAGTGCCAGGTCATTGTGGGGGCGGCAGGTGGCTTAGTGGGTAAGAGCGTTGTGCCAGTAACCGAAAGGTCGCTGGTTCTAATCCCCAAGCCGACTAGGTGAAAAATCTGTCGATGTGCCCTTGAGCAAGGCACTTAACCCTAATTGCTCCTGTAAGTCGCTCTGGATAAGAGCGTCTGCTAAATGACTAAAATGTAATTGTAGCTCAGTGTAGCTCAGTGCCAGGTCAGTGCCAGGTCAGTGTAGCTCAGTGCCAGGTCAGTGCCAGGTCAGTGTAGCTCAGTGCCAGGTCAGTGTAGCTCAGTGTAGCTAAGTGCCAGGTCAGTGTAGCTCAGTGCCAGTTCAGTGCTAGGTCAGTGTAGCTCAGTGCCAGGTCATTGTAGCTCAGTGTAGCTCAGTGCCAGGTCAGTGTAGCTCAGTGCCAGGTCAGTGTAGCTCAGTGCCAGGTCAGTGTAGCTCAGTGCCAGGTCAGTGTAGCTCAGTGCCAGGTCAGTGTAGCTCAGTGCCAGGTCAGTGTAGCTCAGTGCCAGGTCAGTGTATCTCAGTGCCAGGTCAGTGCCAGCTCAGTGTAGCTCAGTGTAGCTCAGTGTAGCTCAGTGCCAGCTCAGTGTAGCTCAGTGTAGCTCAGTGTAGCTCAGTGTAGCTCAGTGCCAGGTCAGTGTAGCTCAGTGTAGCTCCGTGTAGCTCAATGCCAGGTCAGTGTAGCTCCGTGTAGCTCAATGCCAGGTCAGTGTAGCTCAGTGCCAGGTCAGTGTAGCTCAGTGCCAGGTCAGTGTAGCTCCGTGTAGCTCAGTGCCAGGTCAGTGTAGCTCCGTGTAGCTCAGTGCCAGGTCAGTGTAGCTCAGTGCCAGGTCAGTGTAGCTCAGTGCCAGGTCAGTGTAGCTCAATGCCAGGTCAGTGTAGCTCAGTGCCAGGTCAGTGTAGCTCCGTGTAGCTCAATGCCAGGTCAGTGTAGCTCCGTGTAGGTCAGTGTAGCTCAGTGTAGCTCAGTGCCAGGTCCGTGTAGCTCAGTGCCAGGTCAGTGTAGCTCTGTGTAGCTCAATGCCAGGTCAGTTTAGCTCCGTGTAGCTCAATGCCAGGTTATTGGTCAAGGTGCTAAGATGGCAGAAGCCCCAGTTGGGCACTTAGCAGAGGTCATGATGAAACTGGAAGTTTGAGGATTTATTCTCCTACTGGGGCTTTATTTTCTTATTTAAATAGTGTACAATACAATTCACAAAATACAATATTGAGTAGGCTATAATTTGTGACCAAATCAACTCAAATCAGTTCAATGACTTGGTTTGAAGTTACTTAAAGTGATTTGGCCACAAATTATAGCCTACTCAATATTGTATTTTGTGAATTGTATTGTACGCTATTTAAATAAGAAAATAAATATATCAAGCCAAGCAAATCTCGTTATTTACCGTGAGGGAATCTTAACTCTTATTAATCTGTGTTCCCCTCAGCTCTGGAGCTGCTGAAGGAAGCCATCGGCAAAGCTGGCTACACTGAGAAGATCGTGATCGGCATGGACGTGGCTGCCTCCGAGTTCTACAAGGACGGGAAGTACGACCTGGACTTCAAGTCACCTGACGACCCCAGCCGTTACATCACCCCAGACCAGCTGGGAGACCTCTACAAGAGCTTCGTCAAAGATTACCCAGGTCTGTTCGTTTCCCACGGGGGGGCCAGTATGACATTAAAACAAATATATAATGTATGCACTCACTAACTGTAAGTCGCTCTGGATAAGAGCGTCTGCTAAATGACTAAAATGTAAAATGTAAAAAATGTTGATGCGTTCCAAACGGTACCCTATTGCCTATATAGTGCACTACTTTTGTCCAGGGCCCCCCATCACCAAGGGGGATAGGTTGCCTGGAGTCGGCAGTGCCATTACCACTAGATGAAGTATGATTATACTGATCCTCATTATGCTGAATCCCCAATGGCACCCTATTCCCTATATAGCACTACTACTACCCACAGGGCTCTGGTTAATAGTAGTGCACTATGTAGGGAATAGGGTGCCATTTGGACCTGACTTCTGCTACCCGTTAGAGGCCTCGTGGATCTCCAGGGGACATCTCCAGCCACAACTACTGTAACGCTACTGTAGCTACAACGAGCTTTGTTTTGGCTCTGATGTATGGGAACCTAAAGTAAATCAGTTGAACAATGTATTTCTAATTGCAGTCAATTAGGGCTTTAGAGTTGCGTCACTCTTTCTCACCCCTTCCTCTCTCCCCAGTAGTGTGCTCCAACATCTAACCCATTACAACCATTCTCCTCTGTCTTCTACAGTGGTGTCCATTGAGGATCCCTTCGACCAGGATGACTGGGCTGCATGGTCCAAGTTCACGGCTGAGACCAGCATCCAGGTGGTGGGTGATGATCTGACCGTCACCAACCCCAAGCGCATCGCCAGGGGTGTGGCCGACAAGGCCTGCAACTGCCTGCTGCTCAAGGTCAACCAGATCGGCTCCGTCACAGAGTCCCTGCAGGCGTGAGTAACTGTCCCACACACAGTCGGCCATTTTGGTTCAGACTGGCTCCATCACTGAGTGGAGGGTCACTCCACTGGCAGCCATTTTGTTGCCATTGTTTCAGACAGTGCTGAAGGTAGGGAGACTGATGAAAGGGGAAAATGTAATGGATGTTAGTGTGGACCTTGGTGCCAAACACATATGGGGACATTGTGTGTATCAGTGGAGGCTGCTAAGGAGAGGACGGCTCATAATAATGTCCGGAACGCAGCAGATGGAATGGCATCAAACACCTGGACACCATGTGTTTGATGTGTTTGATACCATTCCACTGATTCCGCTCCAGCCGTTACCACGAGCCCCGTCCTCCCCAATGAAGGCACCGCCCACCTCCTGTGATGTGTATGTGTACGTTTCTGTACTAGCTAATGAATGTGTTCGCTGTTTCCTACGTAGCTGCAAGATGGCCCAGACCAACGGCTGGGGGGTGATGGTCAGCCATCGCTCTGGAGAGACTGAGGACACCTTCATCGCTGACCTGGTCGTTGGTCTCTGCACTGGACAGGTAGGATACACCTTCTCATCAGATAACAGATTTCATCTGATTACTCTTTATCAGATTACATTTATCTTATTAGGCAGATATTACTACTGGTGTGACTGGTATGTTGTTGGTTCAAAGCTCATTAGACAGACACTTGGTTTTATCATTTTGTGATCCCACTGCAAGTTCTGTCATGAGAGCATTGCTTTATTCTCACCATAGTTTTTTCAGCATCAGCTTTTCCTGAAAATAATTCTGTATTGATACCTGGTGTTCCAGTGAACTTAAATAACTGATATGTGGTGTTCCAGTTAACTTAAATAACTAATATGTTGTGTTCCAGTGAACTTAAATAACTAATATGATGTGGTGTGCTGTGTTCCAGATAACTGAAATAACTGATATGATGCGGTGTGCTGTGTTCCAGTGAACTTAAATAACTGATATGATGTGGTGTGCTGTGTTCCAGTGAACTTAAATAACTGATATGATGTGGTGTGCTGTGTGTCCTTCTCCAGATCAAGACCGGTGCCCCGTGCAGGTCTGAGCGTCTAGCTAAGTACAACCAGCTGCTCAGGTGAGCTCCGTCTTTAAACTCTTAACTCAGCTGTATAAAATATTGTCACTAGTAATATCATATGTCATATGTTCTTCATTAGATATATCCTTTGATGTAAAGGAGTAGGTTTGGCCCAAATAGAGAGCAATAGTAATGGCGTCTTTTTTTTAGGCTCTAACTCCGCCATGGATCGTTGGTCAAACCTATGGGGAAATGAATGGCGTTTTTGGATAAAGACCGAAAATAAGGTCTGTGGTAAACACAGGCTTTAGGAGATCTTATATGTTTTGTTCTTTGTGATCATCTTCATCAGCTAACGTCACTTTTGGTGAATTTTGAAGCGTTTATGTATTTTTAAAAATAATAATTAATAAAGGTCATGTTAACTGACCGATATTATCTCATAGAACAAAACTTGTAAGATCTCCTAAGCCTGTGTTAACCTCAGACCTTATTTTTGACGTTCATCCCAAAACCCAATTCTTTCCCCATTCATTTTCCCCCATAGGAATGGCTAAACGAACCAGAGGTAACTCATTTCTGGTTTTTAGGACTACAAGCTGGCGAGCTCTATATCGCTCATCTTAATGTACCATTATCAAGGATAATAGTGAGCTATTTTAGTACTTCAACTGTTGAAACATCCAGCCAAATTGACTGTCTGACTACCTTCCGTAGGATTGAGGAGGAGCTTGGAGACAAAGCTGTCTTCGCTGGCCAGAACTTCAGGCATCCAATCTAAGGAGGTTCAACTTCTCCTTGGGTCTTCGTGTTTTCATCCTGCATAAGTACAGTAACCCCCAGCACATAAAGCCACACTAGGTCTCTACGCACTGCCCTGTCCAGAGGAAGGAATATGGAGTGGCATTGAAATGTAACCCCCAAGGTCCAAGGCTGTGGTTCCGTTAGCACGTTAGGAAACTCTAATCTAACTTCTACTGCACTGACCATAATGCACCGCCACCGACCCAACCTCTAGGACTTCTGAATAGTGTCAGTCCTGTTTGTGTCCGTGTAACCTTATCGTGTGATGAGAGATCTTTGTGTCAGTGTAACCTTATCGTGTGATGAGAGATCTTTGTGTCAGTGTAACCTTATCGTGTGATGAGAGATCTTTGTGTCAGTGTAACCTTGTCGTGTGATGAGAGATCTTTCTTTCGCTTCTTGTGAGTTGTAGTGATTCTTGGTTGTCTCCTAATGAGGATTATTATTCTAGTGGAGAGCTACTGTAAGTTTAGCACTGTGCTGTTATTGGGCAGGACAGACAGGACTGTATGTGCAAGGTGTCGCCTCTGAAGAGAAGTCCTAGTGTTGCTACTGTAAGCGTTGGCAGAATTACCGGAAATAAACCTTTGAAACAGACAAGGGATGTCATTCTGCCTTTCTGTGTGCTTTCTTGTTATAATATCATCTGGAAGTTTCTGGATCACAAAATGCAGAGACACTGAAATCATCCTAGAAACATAGACCATAGACCAGAGTCATATTTATTTGTGTGACGAGTACTGAGGATACGAAGAGGCAGGACGCAGACATCAACAATGTAAAGGTTTACTTAACGATGAGCAAGGGAACAACAAAGAGTGAGGACAAGACACTAACAATCACCCACAACACAACACTGAACAGTCCTGGGCTATATAGGGGGTGGTGATGAGACGATGAGGTGCAGGTGCGCTGGAGGTGATCAGGGTGCGTTGGGTTTCCATTCCGGTGTTGCCGAGGTGGTGCGCTCAGACCGGTGGCTCAGTAGACCGGCGAATCAGAGCGCCGGAGGGGAGCAACGGGAGGAGACGTGACACTTTGCCTTTGCATCACTGCATCAAAATTACTTTTTTTAACTGAAAAGGTGTCAAAAGGTGTCAAGCTGTTTTCCATCTAAACCTGCTAAATGAAAGTGGTTTTAACCTGAGGCGTGTTTATAAGCGAGAGAACAGACCTGAGGCCTGTTTATAAGTGAGAGAACAGGTATAATGGTTTTAATTGGGAGAACAGACCTGAGGCCTGTTTATAAGTGAGAGAACAGGTATAATGGTTTTAATTGGGAGAACAGACCTGAGGCCTGTTTATAAGTGAGAGAACAGGTATAATGGTTTTAATTGGGAGAACAGACCTGAGGCCTGTTTATAAGTGAGAGAACAGGTATAATGGTTTTAATTGGGAGAACAGACCTGAGGCCTGTTTATAAGTGAGAGAACAGGTATAATGGTTTTAATTGGGAGAACAGACCTGAGGCCTGTTTATAAGTGAGAGAACAGGTATAATGGTTTTAATTGGGAGAACAGACCTGAGGCCTGTTTATAAGTGAGAGAACAGGTATAATGGTTTTAATTGGGAGAACAGACCTGAGGCCTGTTTATAAGTGGCTCTTCTGTGAAGTCCCTAGCTATCTATGTTGTGATGTAATTGGAACTGCCAGTGAGAGGCGGTAACATGAGCCTGCGGTAAGAGGGACGGGGATGCCATTTCTGGATGCACCGGCTCCCCTTGCAGGGCCTGTGAGTTACAGACCTGGGTTTAAATACTATTTTGAAATCTTTCAAATATGTTGAGCGTTTCCTGTAGTCTGCCTGGATTACCAGATGGTGGGGGTTTGACGTTTTGAGACTATTCTAGTGGTTCCATGATAAAGTATTTGAAATTATTTCAAATACTGTTGAACCCAGCCCAAGATGGATGTTCAGTCAGCAGCATTACAGTACATGGCTGCTGGAAGTTCATTCCTTTGGGGAAATGCATAGACCTGGCTGCCACCATTGATTAGCTGTATACATGTCATTATCCTTAATACATTGCATTTTAGTCATTTAGCAGACACTCTTATCCAGAGTAACTTACAGTTAGTGAGTGCATACATTATTTATTTTTCATACTGGCCCCCCATGGGAATCGAACCCACAGCCCTGGCGTTGCTAACGACATGCTCTACCAACATCCCTGCTGGCCATTCCCTGGACCAATTGTGCGCTACCGCATGGGTCTCCCGGTCGCGGCCGGCTACGACAGAGCCTGGATTCGAACCAGGATCTCTAGTGGCACAGCTAGCACCGCGATGCAGCGCCTTAGACCACTGCGCCACTCGGGAGGATGATCATATACAGCAAGAGGCAAACTGTTTATAATTCTGGTTTTAGGAGCAGTGAAAATAAACCAAGTATACATACATCTACTGTACAGGATCAGTGAGCGGCTCATAATAATGGTCGGAACGCAGCAGATGGAATGGCATCAAACACCTGGACACCATGTATTTGATGTATTTGAAACCATTCCACTGATTCCACTCCAGTCATTAGCACGAGCCCGTTCTCCCCAGTGAAGGTGCAGCCAACCTCCTGTGATGCAGGTACTGCTACCACAGTATCATAGTGAAGTAGTGAAATCAACTACATTTCAGTAAGGAAATGGGTCTTAATGATGTGTTTTGCCAGACAGATTTGATTCAGGGGACAGAAAATCTGTCGAAAATCTGTGGGCACTGACCTTGAGAGCTGCACTTCAATCTATTTTCTTTGAGTCATACGCCACCTGGTGGTTACTGCTGTGAAGCACCACTACGCTCCTACCACTGAGTCAAATAAGATGTTAACGCTAGAGGTCTCTCTTTATCATACCTTAGATTGTTCTTTGATTACAGCATACAGTAACGTGTAATGGACCGTTATAAAATATGTCATATCAAATCTTACACATGACTTGGCACAAAATGTTGCACGACATTTTGATACATCACTGATCCAGGTTACTTTGTTCATTTTATGTAACCAATACAAACACATCATTATGTAACTTCATAATGCCTAACGACAGAGATCGAAATTAAAAAAGTGAAACATTGTTTTCGAAGTCAGACAGGCAGACAGCGATGCTTAAACTAACCCCCGCTGTACCAAACTAAATGCTAGGCTGAAAGCAAGCGGAAATAATGTGCAATTTGAGATAAAAGACAGCAACATAAACATGATATTCTTATGGAGGCGCAGTGATCATTTTCAGATAGAACTGTTAGCTGCGACGTCCAACACGACACACTGCTCGTCCAATCAGCATCCAGGATCCAAACGAACAGTTTTAAATAAGGCCAAGTTATTAGTTAGTGTGGACACGAGCAGGGTGTACAAGCTTTTGTTGAAGGGCTTTATAATGATTTCATTTGTTAAACCATGTCTGCTTTACTGCATTCTGAAACAAATATACCAATGAAAGCTGTGACCACTGAAGTAATACATGTGTTGTACCTTGTGTATTGTTAATGAAGCTCACAGCGTCTTGATTTATCGGTGAATAAAACACACCCTAATTAACAACAAAGTTAGTATTCTGTACTGACCAATGATTTACACAGAGTATACAAAACATTAAGAACACCTGCTCTTTCCATGACAGACTGACGAAAGCCAGGTGAAAGCTATGATCCCTTATTGATGTCACTTGTTCAATCAGTGTAGATGAAGGGGATGGGGACCGGTTAAATAATCTTTTTTAAGCCTTGAGACATGGATTGTGTATGTGTGCCATTCAGAGGGTGAATGGGCAAGATACAATATTTAAGTGCCTTTGAATGGGGTATGATAGTAGGTGCCAGGCACACCGGTTGAAGTGTGTCAAGAATTGCAACGCTGCTGGGTTCTTCACGCTCAACAGTTTCCCGTGTGTATCAAGAGTGGTCCACCACCCAAAGGACATCCAGCCAACTTGACACAACTGTGGGAAGCATTGGAGTCAACATGGGGCCAGCATCCCTGTGGAACGCTTTCAATACCTTGTCAAGTCCAATGCCTCAACGAATTGAGGCTCTTCTGAGGGCAAAAAGGGGTACAACTCAATATTAGGAAGGTGTTCCTAATGTTTTATACACTCAGTGTATAATACATAATTGGTACTGATACATCACATTCTTGGAATTTCCCATTTCTTCTACAGTAGATGGCGGCAATTCACCAGTAGATGGAATGCCCGATCTCCACATCCAAAGATGAAGAAGAGGGGGTGTCATGCTTGGTGTTGCTTTTCCCCATTCTGTGTCTCTTTAGCTAACTGAAGAGAAAATACCCCGACACCGATTACTCCCTCAGTAATCCATACTCCATCATTTCTATGACAGAATTATCAAACGTGGTCAGTTGCGTTTTTATTAATAGTCCCCCCAGTGGCTCGTGGCTGCCTAGCTAGGCTTGCTACTCCCCTGTGTAGCAGCACTTGGCTGGCTAGCTAGCTAGCTGTCTGAGCTATTGTTTTGTTGTTGTTGCAGTCAAATCTCAAAACAAATCACAGATGGTGTAAAACAAGCCCTCCAAGGTAAGTGTTGGAATAGCTGTTGCTGTCTAAGTTATACTCCTGCTTTGATGTTCACGAATAAAAAGGGGGGCGTGATGGCAAATCAAATAAGTAACGTTATCTTGCTAGCTTATGTAGCTAACTAGCTATTTGTATCTTTAGTTGTATCACGAATTATCTTGATGGGTCATTGGGTCGTTGGTGTGGTGATGACAACGAAATGTCACCAAGCTAACGTTAGCTAATAGCAGCTAACTAGCTTGCTAGTTAGTTAGCAATCAAAGCCTTAGCTTTTGTTGACAGTTATTGCCTTTGTCTTCGAGATCATCTGAGGATACTATGGTATTATCACAGTGGCAATTAGCTATCACACCCACAATATATAAACTCTAAGTTAGTCAGCTGTAGCTAGCTAGCTAACGTTGCTAAATCACCTCCACCAGAGACAGGCTAACGTTAGCA